AGATTATAATTATTCAAATTATAATTTGTACTACAAAGTATCAGGTATGATTTTTTCTATATTCTTGTCAAAATTCTCTTTAAAAGCTTAGTAAAATGAAAGCCTGTTTCATAATTCTTTAGTGTGATAGCGAGCTTTGGAACAAAAAAAAAGACTTGAAACAAAATGAAAGATATTTTCTCTGATATTTTCTCTCTGGTAAATGATATTCAATTGATTTGAAGAAAATTCAAAATTCCAGAATGCTGAATCAAAGGTTATTTTAGTGTCACTGAGCAGACCCAGGTTGTTTATAATCCTGTTTTTACCAGCGATTACCTGAAAAAAAAAATTCTTAGAGAGTCTGGAGAGAGGCTTCTTGCTTCCCATTAATAGGGTGTCCCAAAACCTACATTAGGCCACTTGAGTAGAGTCTGGGTGTGAGAATGTAGACAACACTTCCTTTTGCTCCTTTTAAGTCAATCCAGTATCTTTTTGGCCAAGTAGGGGCCAAGGCCCGTTACAAACAAGAATTTTTTAAAGTAATGTACAAGACAGGAATATAATATAAAAAATATAAAAAATAGAGTGGAAAGGAAGCGAGACAGCTGAGAATCTTGATGCATTAAACAGTAATTCATTTCAAGATATACTATGAGAAGTTTCAACTATTAAAAAAACTTTGTTATCAGCAGGGAAGCAATGCTCCATTTTCAAATTCAAAGCAAATAACCAATGTCACTCGACAGAATGATTCTCTTGTGCAAAGACCTTACCAAAAAAAAAAGGAAGCATGAGAGAATCATTCACAGAGATTTCTGGGATATATTTGTGCATTAATTAATAACATGCATGGTATTAATTAATTGCATGAATTAAAAAAAGATTCACGGTTCCTTAGCCAATCAGAATGAAGAATTTTTTGTAGGTATGATATAATTGTCGAAATTACCTGGTCATTTCTGCTTCTTCCTGTATGCAGCTTGCTGGCTGCACTTCCAATCAATTCCTATTATAAGTAAAGATATCTATAATTGAACTTGAAACTTCAGTTCATGTTTCATTATCATTAATCTGTACACATTTTGAATGTGCCCTTGTTAATTTTTTTTCACTTTTTTGTACTATTAAGCGATAGGAACTGAGCAACAAAAACTACTTTTCTCAGTAAGTTGTAGCTAAGGTCCCTCGGAATGGATATAGTTTACTTATAGCCACTGTTCTTCTTAATGAACTCATATTTATTGCGTCCATCTCCTATACCAAAAMTKTTTTCGATGTTACAGTTTACACAAGTGYAAACCAACTTTCATACATATTTTGTCAAGTGATAAATTAAAGCACATTCTATATCAATGGTCACCATACACAGTTCAATTCATGAATGCAAGTACTATCAGAGACCACATTACGATTAAGCACCTACTAATGAACCTACTAATGACTTTACTATCAAGACTCAGAGCTATTTATCAAAAGTAATTTGCGATATAAGTTACTTCCACCATGGTCGATTTCGGCCATGCTATGCTAGTGTCAAACCCAACCATAAAATAGCTATAAAATATTATTTGATGAAATAAACTTAAAAATACCTTTTGTGTACTTCTATGACTTGAGGTCGTGAATATCAATAAGGAATATTAGATTTAATATTATCACATGGTAGCTGAACATCAACTCCAGAACAGGCTTCCTGTGCCCACACACCTTCTATTTGGATTTTTGATGCCACAATGTATTATTATCATATAGCATTTTGATAAAAATTACAAATGATTCATTTATGCAGAATATTTTGAGGTTTTCATATACTGATCATAAGTAAAAAGAGGGCTTTTCGTCAAATATGGTTTTAATGTTAATGGTTCAATATTTTAAAATAATTTCAAAAGAAGATGCTTCCACTGTTGATAAAAGTGACAAATGAAAATTTAATTAAAAACCAAACGCTCTTAGAGCGTAAAGTTGGGCTAGCTATTTTTGAAAATTGAGAAAGACAGGATATTTCATGGGTGCGCGTATAGGAGAATGAGTGAAAGGTTTTAAACATGATAAGATTATGATGTMATATTCTGTCTCTCATATGATTATAATTATATGAATGTAAATTATGACTTAGAATATATATTTTTTACTTCTAATACATAGTGAAAACTYTTAATAATTAATTTTAAATGTACTGTTCAAAATTCTAATTGTTTATTCACCCGCTACAATTTTCTTTTTTGACAGCTTGCTGYAATGATGTCAAAACAATAGAAATATGGAACCAGGAAACTTATCCTGTCATCTTTCTTAAATTTTTCCAAAATAGCCAGACCTCTAGCTCTAAGAGCATCTAGTTCAAAATGTGCAAAATTCCATAAGACTTATATAATTTGACCTAAAAGGTCATGTAATCAAAACTGTTGATAATCCAACAATTTTTAATTCAATGTTAAAAAGAAAAGAAACTAGTACTTAAAGTATACTTATCAAAGTGTTTTGAACATGGACCAACTTACTAGTCAGAAGAATCTCCAAATGCAAAAAGTTATTTTCAGGCGAATGTTTTAAATTTAATGCCTTGCTTTGACTGATAAAATCCAACGTGGTAGACTAAATGTCGCTGAGTGATATCTAATACTTTTTTAATTCAAATTAGTGACCTCTCAGGCCAAGAAAATATTTAAGAGCGGTTGCCTGTAAAAATCGGACATTTCGCAAAAATTGCAGCAAAGCTCAAAAAATAGATTTCGCTCATATTTTGCCCATTGATAAGCCTGAATGTAAGAATAAACGCTGTGTAGTTAGTTTGATGAAATACGCTCTAGTTTTCGAGAAAAGCGACAATATTTATCAACAACTGAAATTCGCGTATTTTTCGGTAGGAATTTACATNNNGCTCTAAGAGCATAGTTCAAAATGTGTAAAATTCCATAAGACTTATATAATTTGACCTAAAAGGTCATGTAATCAAAACTGTTGATAATCCAACAATTTTTAATTCAATGTTAAAAAGAAAAGAAACTAGTACTTAAAGTATACTTATCAAAGTGTTTTGAACATGGACCAACTTACTAGTCAGAAGAATCTCCAAATGCAAAAAGTTATTTTCAGGCGAATGTTTTAAATTTAATGCCTTGCTTTGACTGATAAAATCCAACGTGGTAGACTAAATGTCGCTGAGTGATATCTAATACTTTTTTAATTCAAATTAGTGACCTCTCAGGCCAAGAAAATATTTAAGAGCGGTTGCCTGTAAAAATCGGACATTTCGCAAAAATTGCAGCAAAGCTCAAAAAATAGATTTCGCTCATATTTTGCCCATTGATAAGCCTGAATGTAAGAATAAACGCTGTGTAGTTAGTTTGATGAAATACGSTCTAGTTTTCGAGAAAAGCGACAATATTTATCAACAACTGAAATTCGCGTATTTTTCGGTAGGAATTTACATTAACTTTGAAAGCCCACAAAATCTTTTTTTTAACTTTTTTTCTTATTTTGCTACGTTTGTACTCCTTCAGTGGAAAGTTAAGTATGCATAATCATAGTTTGTATAATTTAACTACTTTTTTTAATATATGGATATGTTATATTATTAAATTGATAAGATTAAATACAATCAAAACTAATTATTCCCACTAAATCAAAGTTTATCGATGAAACATATGAAAAATGGCTCAGTCATTGTTTCTTTTTAAGATTTTGTACAAAATGATAGTGAAGAAAACAACTCAACAAGCTAATTGATGCATATGTTACTAAATCGATTGACCTCGCCGACGTCAAGAATTCGTTGTTTTCACGTATCTTTCGGACCTCAGTATATGTATATTTCTCCAAAATATATTTTCATGTTTCAAAACCTTCATTCATTCAAGATTAAACTGATAGGTTTTTCTTGAAAAAATAATTTGTCGCACATAGCAAAAATTTTAATTAACAAGGAGTACTTTTGAGCAGTCGTTTTATGCCGGTCAAGAATAAAATTCGTTACTAAATCAATTTGCATTTAAAAGAGCTGAAACTTGTCAAGAATTATATATATAGATTGATAAACTTGTGAGTGAAATTTGAAATCACTAGGTATTTTTGTCTCGATTTTGTGAGCTTTCAAAGTTGATGTAAATTCCTACCGATAAAATACGCGAATTTCAGTCGTTGATAAATATTGTCACTTTTCTCGAAAACTAGACCGTATTTCATCAAACTAACTACACAGCGTTTATTCTTACATTCAGGCTTATCAATGGGGAATTGATATATTTGGAAAATTTCTGAATTTTTGCATTTAGTACTGATAAAATGATTTTTTCCTAAATTTTCATATTTGTAATCTATAAAGTGCATATAGAAAAATTCAGAAATTTCTGAATTTTACTTTCTGTATTGTTATCTAAAAACAAACCGGAAAATTTCTGAATTGTGTCAATTCAGAAATTTCTAAACCTCAGTCGGGCAATTATAAATATAAACGAAAATTTCTGAATTGACTCGTGACAATTCAGAAAATTTCCAAAACTCAGTTAAACAATTATTAATAGAAACGAAAATTTCTGAATTGACACAATTCAGAAAATTTCTAAACCTCAGTCAAACAACTATTTATAGAAACGAAAATTTCTGAATTGACACAATTCAGAAAATTTCTAAACCTCAGCCGAANTCTGAATTTTGATATATGTATTTTGTAAAGTTGTTAAATATCGTCTTACATATAAAGAAATTCAGAAAAAAAGCGTACATCTGTACATATGAAATAATTCAGAAATTTTCTGAATGTGTAATGACCCTTATCAATGGCCAAAATATGAGCGAAATCTATTTTTCGAGCTTTGCCGCCATATGCTCGATTTTTACAGGCAACCGCTCTTAAATACTTTACAAAATATAAGATGCCCGTAAAATAATCAAAGTCGCCTTTTTGTTATTGATAAACAAAGTTTCTTCTTGCTCTAATTTGAAATCTTTGCCATCACAAGACCATTTAAATCTAGAAAGGTGATTGGTTCAGTTTCGTAAGCATACTACTTGAAGCTCAATGCGATCCACAAATGCGCATGCTTCTGATGATCAGAAATGCATTCCGATAAGATCACAGATACCACATTTGTAGAGGAATAGTGTTTTTATCAGATAAAAGCRCAAGTAGCATCAAACAGTTACACTAATGATGTTTGTACATCTATTACGTTTGAGCTTCCGGTCATGTGATAACACAGCCAACCCACTAGTTAATATTAAATGCTTCCKGTTTTGATGTATTGAATTCTTAACTTCCGGTGGTCCAAACGCAACATAATACACAGATAGATAGATAGACTAAAAGGTAAAACTAAAGTCGATCTAGCCTACGRCTAGCCCGACTAATAAGGTAAAGCTCTCTTAGTTATTGTAGCCCTCAATGAAGGTCATTGTAGCTCATTGTTGGTCATTGTTTTTTATCTCATTGTAGGTCGTTGTAGATCATTGTAGCTCATTGCACCTTTTATAGTAAGACAGTATGTCTCATTCATCAATTATAATGWMCAACCACTTTAATATGCACCTTAAGTCGTCTTTCATTGGCTGTGTGGACATCTTCATCTCCAGCTTTAATTACAAATTTCTTATTAAACCACTCCTCTTTAATCTGTACAGAATTAGAATTGGAAAAGTTATATACTAACTATCAAATGCCACTTCTCATACACTTGTTACATCCAATAATTAATAAGGTATTCTTATTACAAATACCATTCCAACACAAATGTAACCTTTCTCCCAAATGTAAGTCATRGTTAACCTAAATTTATAATTTACAATTCATTAACATTTTGCTAAGAGCTTGMACCRATTACGTTCTTTTCTTTCTCTCAGGCAGCCTATGCTTGGACTCAGTTGGTAAGATAAGCTGAGTGGTTAATTTTCGAAACTTGAAGTTATCTTTTACTGCTTGCTTGACTMATGACATCTACTGTATAAATCCACMTTTTTTTCTTTTCTCTTGCAATYAACTTAAGATAAGATCTTATTGGATAAATCTGTATCATAGCTGTACTAGCATGTTTTGTAATATATAAGATATGAGCGGGAGACCTTTATGGGCATTTAAAACTGYGAGCTGCAAGTGATAATGCATATTAAACTTCTACTGAGCATGTGCATTTGCCACAATTGAAAGAATTGGCCGATAACAAAACGAAAAAGGGACTGGGTACGAACCTCCAAATCTAACTTCTAAATAATGGTTCCAGAAAGAATAACCCCATCATGTGAAAGAGCACCATACAAAAGGCTTACTGACTAAGTTTCATGATGTTTGAACTTATAGCAATAATAGTCAAGGACATTCAAACCATGCCAAAATTACAAAGAAATGTATGGTGTCCAGCCAAAGCGTCCAGCCAAACATACATTCTTTGTAATTTTCGAAATTTTTGAAAAATTATRTTAATKACTTAAACTTGCTCAAACTTTAAAGTTTAGCTAATTCATATGTGCTTTGTCTATCAACAACAGATTTCTGTAAGATTGTAGCACTTTTAAAATTTTCAGTCCCAGGCCCCTGCTYGTTTTGTTATCGGTTAATTTTGATCCCACACGTAAGAACGGCTATTCTATGCTATACTGCATGTCTGCACATTGATTCAAACTGATTTAAAACCTAGCAAAGGTCTATGATGCGACATTAAAACTGAGACCTTTGCTAGTGTTGGGTTGCAATAAAGCCCTGATGACCTTGAACATCAGTTCTTTATAATATCTGATATAGAACTGATTAATAAAACATCAGTGCTTTATCGGGATATAAAGGCCCATCATGTGACMCAATAGTTCGATGCTCATTGGACTAATAGCTCATGAATTATTAATGAGTTCTAGAATRGATTTTACATACTAAATTCCACTTAAATCTGTTCAATAAAAAGGTACCAAATAGCCCACAAAACAAGTCTGAATTTGAAAATTTCTTGGGAGAACATTTTCCCACAATTCCCTAGTTTCAACCTCCTTCCAAGGTCACTTGCCTTAGTTATACATTCATTCTCTGGCTATTGGMAATGTTAAATTTATACTAAAGAATAAAAACCTTCAAATACCTTTTCTATACCACATAGAATTTGATTCATTTCATCTTTGGTAACTAGTCCAACACTATGAATAGCTCTGATGTAAGCCTGACTTCCCTATTTATGAAATATTATATTTTAGAACAATTTCACATAACCAGATAAAAAATGCTAATGAGGATCAATTATAAGTCAAACTACCTGAAGCATGAACATGTATAGGCTCAGTCTCCAGCCGTCAGGATTTCGTGCGCCCGCGATACTCTCTCCCCTGAGGGCTGGGCGCATGGGGTTCGAAACGTGTCGCGCATGTCYGTGACGTTTTTGTGTAATTAGCATATTATGAATAACGGAAGTGAATTTTTCAGTGAACGGAAGTGAAATATCTGACAACAGCYGTATTAAAAGGTTTTGCTACAAGGCGGGAAATTATGTGAAATGAAAACTTCGCGAAGTGGCGATATAATGTAATAGTTAGCGCTTTAAAAAAGAGAAAGGAATGGAAATTACCCCAAGTAAAACATGTGTAGGGTTTAATAATCCAAATGGATATATTATCTGCCAGAAAGACGAGCAAAATACACCAGTGGCGCTGTTTGAAAAATAAGAGATTTGCCCGAGCCAGTAGGAAGAATAACAAGGACATCTTTTCCAAGAACAATCTCTTTAAGAGCCTTTTGCTGTATTTCTCTAAATTCGTCCAAGCTAAACGACTTCAGAGCGTTCAAACGAGAATCTCAAACGACGAATTGTCCGCCATTTTGTTACACTGCGACGACGGCTGCCTGCTAATTTATTAATGATATGCCCCTGAAAATATCGGGGGCCACTCGCTGATTGGTCGAGACTGACAATAGCGAACCCCATGCGCCCAGCCGTCAGGGGAGAGAGTATCGCGGGCGCACGAAATCCCGACGGCTGGAGACTGAGCCTAG